AGAATTAACAAGAAAGAAACGAATAAAGTTAAGAGAATTGCTGTAAGGTTTTAAAAGAAAGAAGCGATGCAGAATCAAAGAGTTTGCCTGCTTAATCGGTAAGCTAACAGCAGCATGACCAGATGTGGAATACGCGTGGCTATACACGAAGGTTCTAGAGAGAGAGAAAATGAAGGCGCTATTAAGAAACAAACACGACTACAGACGAAAAATAAATATACCAGCCCCAATCCTACCGGACCTAGACTGACGGATAAAAAAGCTACCATCAGCAGATAGACAAATAAAAACAAATAATTACAATCTTACAATTTACACAGATGTGTCGGGATCGGGCTGGGGAGCAACAGATAAGAAAAACAAAGTGTACGGGTTTTGGAATAGATCGGAAATAAATTACCATATCAATTTTAAAGAGTTACTAGCAGTTAAGTTAGCATTAGAGAAACTCGCAAAAGATAAAAAGAATTGTCAAATCTTGCTAAGAGTGGACAAGACAACAGCTATTGCATATGTCAATATAAAATAATTTTTTGGAAAAAAAATTTAACCGACTTCAAAAAAGGTATAGTGAACAGTATGAAATAATTTCTAGTTAATTTATATGAATACGCACTAGCTCTAGATTTATTTGCTTAAAAGTATGGGAAAATGCAGTGAAAAGTGTGAAATAATTTCTATTTAAACTGTATTGTTATTCACCATCGTTTGATGAATTTGGTTAAATTATTAAATACATCATATTAAATGTAATGCACCATTTTCGAAGGCGGCGCAGATGTAAAAATTGTTTAATTCTGGTTTGGGTTAGCTTTTGGTAGAGGCGGCAATATTGAATGCTGTCAATGTATACATGTTATTGTCTATGAGGAATTAACAGTTAATGTATATAGTATGTATACGGAAATACAGTGTGAGTAGATTTGGGGCTTTTTTGGAGGGGAGTGGCGGCCATATTGATTACTGCTAATGTATAAACTCTCCACATGGAAATATTGTATGAATAGGTTTGGGATAGTATTTTGGTGGGGGCGGCGATATTGAATAGTGTTATGGAATATGATGTCTAAAGCGGATATAGTAATAGCAATAATTAATGTCATATTTTTTGTTCCTCGAACAGAAAGCTAAACCAAGTTTGATAATATTTACTTTTGGGAATAGCTGAGACGATGCTGAACTACGATTTTGTGTGCAAAAATTTCGAATGGTGTCGAATATTAACGAAAACGAAGCACTATCCGCAAAGGAAATTGTGGTTCAGAATTTTCTCAGCTACCTCCCATTTCCGCTTCTTACACTAATTCAACGACACTCTAGTAGTATAGCTAAGCCGGTTCTAAGCCATGAGGCTCCGAGGGGGGAGCGGGGGAAGGGGAACCGAGGGCGAGGGGAGGTACGAGTGCTGGGGGGGTCGGTAATTATTACCTGCGGTCGGTAAGGTAGGATGCAATTATTACCTACGGTCGTTAAGGTAGAGGGGGGACACCACCGGTCGGTAATTATCAGTGATCGGTAAGAAAGAAAACCGCAAATTTTACATGTAACGAAATAAACGCGTAAGGGTAGGGGAAACCGTCCTCTTCGCGCGCAGGAGTGGGGGTGTTTTTTCGGATCTCGCGGATTCCCTCTCTCTCTCGCGTTCAAGCATTTTCTTCCTCGCACTCATGCTCTTTTACCCGTGCAACAGGTAAGATTAGAAAAGATGAGGTAATTATCATAGGTAATTATCAGAGATCGGTAAAAAAGAAGAAGAAGAAGAACATCAATTGTTCGACGTTTGGTAAGTATTATTGCTATCAGAGATCGGTAAAGAAGAAAAACGCAAATTTTACATGTAATGAAATAAGCGCGTAAGGGAGGGGGAACCCATCCTCTTCGTCTTCGAGGTAAGCGCGCATGCTGTAAGGGAAGGGGAAACCGTGCTCGTCGTCTTCGCGGGAGGTGAGCGCGCACGCCGTACGGGAGGGGACACCGTCCCCTTCGCGCGCAGAGCAGAAGATCCAAAAACGCAGTTTGCAAATTATAATCCGGCAGCAAATCTTTTATTTGCGCGATACAATTTTTCAAGGACTAGATATTAAAGAAACGGTAGAGGTGACATCATTCTTTTGATGATGAGAATACTAGAGAACGTGCGAGGGAAACATTACACAGGATGAGAATAAGATATGGGAGGAAATGCGCTAGAAAGAAAACACATATATCCAAGCTATTTCTTTTTTATCGATAACTGTATTCCAGCATTACATCTAAACCTAATGCTAACAATTCAGAGTCAATCAATGAATGACGCTCAAAATTTTCATGTTCAACAATTGCCTTTGCATAATCCTTATTTCAATAAACTTTTTGTACTTAGATTCTACCAGGTACAAGTTTTCAGACAGCCAACTGTACATGTGATCGATACAATATTCGAAAGCGAACAACTTTTGTACGGTTCTTTCACTCATGAACATAGAGACGGTAGAATTTGAGAGGTTTGCGAGTTTTACGTCGTTTAGTTGTCGGAGTTTAACTGTTACATCATTAATGCTTATCGGCTCGCTCGAGGTTCCCAATGTATCAGCAAAAATCTGCAGAATGTTATGCCTCTTTCGTAGGAGATCTTTCCACGTATCCATAGAAAATTTAATTTCGTTTCCACGTCTCCTATAGCCAACTCTACGTCGCAGGAACCACCGATTCGAACCCCGATGTCGAGATACTTGTAGAATGTATCCGTCAGGGGATATCTCCTCTCCAGTATACGCACCACGCGTGTTACTCTACGTTCCGTAGGAACATTATCGCTATCACTGACAAGAGAAACAAAAAATTATAAAGGATATTGAATTTTGACTGCATATTTTGCAATATGTTGTCAAAGAACTTACTCTGTGCGCGATTACTTTGTTAATGTTTGGTTGAACTCCTTGTTCGGAAGATTCTCTCGCGTTGCGATTTCAGCATTGCGATTTCAGCATTGGACCACATCGCTGATGTTTCGATACGAGGCGATAGAACGATGTTGCGAACAATGATTGAAAAAACGCGTTTAGACATTTTTATATAACACCCCCCACTCTTTGTTAGATGGACAAAAAAAAATGCTGAAACAGCAGATCTCCCCTCCTCCACACATTTCACTTTCTTGTCCACATTTATTTTTGGCATACACATCTCTACGTAGCGCGTGATCTAATTTTTTTTATACGTAATAAGACCCTCATCATCGCGGAGTCGTTCTAATGAATTGATACATCAGTGGTGTAATTCCCAAATATATACATATATATATTTCCGTTCTCAGGAAAACATACGAAGACAGCGATACGGAATATGAGAGGATTATGAAAATCTGCAGGCAGTGACATCATAGTAGGAGCATATCATGTGACAAAATCACGTGACCTAGAGTATAAAAATTGTGCTGCAGATTAAACTGCATTCAAATCGTTCTGTAGTGACCCCCAGCGAAGAAGTGAGTGCAACCATGGAAGAACTCTTGGAAATGGAAAGTCGATTGTGGGACCAGGCCGATCGATTGACTTCGCAAGAAGAATACCTCGCATGGGAAGAACGATGCAACGAGTGCCTCGAGTCGCTGGAACAACATAGTCGAGCAAAACGCACTCGATTATCGATTGGTGTTCAACAATCGTTCTAAAGTATTCGATGCGCAGACGTTTCGTGTACGAAGGAGCCGGCCATTCAAGCACTGGACTCTTGTGGCGTGAAATAGACACTGCGTTCGAGTGCTGCGTATTAACCGGTGTTGTTTTAAATTCCCACTACATCGAACCGCGTAACTTTCTTCAGGATGCGAGAGACGTTGTGCTCGAGCATATACGGGGTGCATTGGTGAAACATAAGACACTAAAAGTCAATACCGCGTTTAATGGAGAGTTTGTAGCGCGTGATAAACGCTCAAACAAGACTATCAGCACGAAAAACTGTGAAATCTTCGGCGCGATCAATCTCGAATAGTGGTACGAGCAACGCGTCGTCGAACCCACCCTAGCATCGCTGGAAGAATTTCAAGAACTGGATAGCGGATGGGCGCTGTCGCGTATACTCAATTTAATTGTTAACGTGAATAAATATATACCGTTGCATGCAGGATGTACTATACAATTACCATGAGAAATACAACTAAAGAGAGCTGTAATTAACGTATGCTCGAACGACAATGCATGTTTCGCGTGGTCAGTGGTGGCTGCTCTGCATCCAGCTGAAAGTCACGTATATCGGGCATTGGCATATCCTCATTACTCAACAGTGTTGAATATCCAGGATATCGAATTTCCAATGACATTGAACCAAATTAAAAAGTTTGAACACGCCAACAGCATCTCCATCAACGTCTACACCACTGAAGAAAAGAAGGTTCTGCCGGTACGGCTCGCCACACAGAAGATGGAGAGACACGTCAATTTGCTGTATTTAGAAGGAGCAAACGGCGTGGGGCATTTCGCGTGGATACAAAACTTATCGCGCCTCGTGAGCTCACAATTTTTTTGTTTATTGCAGATGCTTGCACTACTTTAGTTCCAGTGAGAAGCTGGAAGCTCACACCGTAAATTGCGAGAAGATGAATGATTGCGCAATCGTATTACCAGATGATGACAGCAAGTGGCTCAGCTTCCACAACTACATCCGGAAAGAGCGACTTCCATTTGTGGTGTACGCCGACCTCGAGTGCATTCTAGAGAAAACTGATCGAGGAGCGCCAAGATACACGTATCAGCATCATAAAGTATTTAGTAATGCATATTATGTTCAATGCGCGTACGATTCGTCCTTGTCGGTATACCGATGTCGTCGTGATGCGAATTGTGTTTCCTGGTTCGTCGAAGAATTAAAGAATATTAACACATTTTGTTAAATCAATTTTATCAAATAACATACAAATGGATGATTTAACGAGCGAACAGCAGGAGGCATTTCGCAACGCGTCGCATTGTCATATTTGCGAAAAACCGTTTGGAGAAAACGATACGAGGGTTCGCGATCATTGCCATCTAACCGGTCGGT